ATATTATCAAAATTAGCATCCACGATTAACCCAAATCAATAGAATATCAACTAAGTCAAATTCCTAAATCCTAATTGCATCGGGAAACAAAATCTTCACACAGAGAGAGTCGTCCTAGATTACTGCCGTTTAAACTTATTGGGCCATTAGAAAGGCCCATTTAAGCTCGAGTTGGGTAACTCACTCACTATATAATGCCCCAAGTTTCCTCGAGACTCCGCCGTAAATTTCTGTGATGAAGCCGGAAACTAAGAGAACCGCCGCAGTTATACGGCGGAGCGACGCCGACGGTGGTTCTTCTCCGTTCAATCTGAGCTCTCTGAAGCATGCGATCGACACTATAGATGCTCAAGACAATTACAGATTATACCAGAGTTTGAACATTATTACTCTACTTTTGGAAACAAACAGGTTCTCCACAAAATTGGAGCTGAGAGAGCATGTGCTGCTGTGGTTGCCTTAGACGCCCCAGGAGCAAATTACAGATGTGTCTGGGCTTTGAGCCAGTATTACCCCGATGTCAAAACCTTTGTCCGTGCACACGACGTTGCTCATGGCCTTAATCTAGAAAAAAGCTGGTGCTACTGCTGTAATGTTCACAAACCCCTTCACTCCACTAACTAAGACATGCGCTTTCTTGATCATACACTAATGAATCTCAATCACAAAAACTTGTAGGTTGTCCCGGAGACTCTGGAGCCAAGTCTACAGTTGGCAGCTGCTGTTCTTGCTCAGGTAAACATAATGGCTTTTTGTCAGTGAGAGTAATCCGAAACATAGAATTAACACAACGTTGATCATTTGCTGGGATAAAACCTTCTCAGGTCAACTTACCGACATCAGAAATCGCAAACACGATCAACGAGTTCAGAGCGCGTCACCTGTCTGAACTAACCGAGGTGCGAATCATTTTTATACAAATTCTTCATTTTTTAAATCAGAATCTGGTTTGGTTTGATTGATTGGAATTGGGATATGGTGTAATGATCATTGGCACAGCTATGTGAAGCAAGTGGAAGCTCTCTGGGGTATTGGTTTCTCAAGGAGTAAGCCTAAACCTCAACAGTCAGTTTCATCTAATGATAACCAGATAATCGAAGGAGGCATACTCGCTATCTGATCGATCACCTTTCTTCACTCTGGTGAGAATAAGAACAGTTTTCATTTTTCTTTCAGGGAAATGTATGTCCCTTAAACATCTTTTGTAACCATCACCGACTTGGGTCGCGGTGTATGGTAATACTATCAAGGATCCATCATATGTTAATGTTCAGTACATAACAACCAAATGTGAACAATTCTAGGGAGGAATCGCTTTAGGCCTCTTTTAAGCGTCCACAAACCGTGGCGTTTATCTAGTCTAAGGCAGCGCAAATCTTACAAAAACAGTTGAGTTGGCTCAGCTCATTGACAAATTAGAGAACATTTTCAACATATTTCCAAGACTCATGTAGTTTTACCATTGGTTCTTCACTGAATCAACGATCAGTAAAGAGGTAGTTACGTTTCTTGTTCAGTACACAACTACTTTCTCTCTGTTTTCTTGGTTAAAAAAACTTTACACCCAAGTGTATTAGGCCTAAAGGTAGCAAGTAGGAAGTAAAATGTCTTTATTTTGGACTATAATATATGCTTTGCTTACAATAAATTCATTAAAGAAAAATCCAAAAGTTAACAAAATAAAACAACCATTAATTACTGATTTGAGTAAATATATGCTTACAAATTTCTGTCCAAATGTTTTTTCTTGGAATAGTATAGAGATCAATCAATTCATGATTAAGCCACCGTAACCTCCGTATTTAAGCAAACGGCGACGCCTTCACCACCAATAACCCCGTTACATTTACCGTTAAATCCACCACACTCTCTCTCTTTCACCACTAAAAGACTCTTGATGGTTCCTTCGAGATCTCTCTTATGCAAATTCACCAAAAGTCCGTTCTTCATAAAAAGCGTCAATGACATTTTCTGCTCCACTTTATGTCCCGGAACCACCGTAAGCCGGTGCCGGAGAAGCACCGCCGCCGCGATCGTCTTCATCTGAAGATACGCCAGATCTTTCCCCAAACAGATCCTTGGTCCAGCATTAAAAGCCACGAACCGGTACTGATCGTGATTGACGAATTTTCCGTCGACCGGAGAAATCCATCTCTCCGGTTTAAATTCCAAACAATCTTCTCCCCAAGTCGATTTCATCCTCCCCGCCGCGTAAATCGAATAACTCACCGACGATCCCGCCGGAACAAAAGTCCCGTCAGGTAAAACGTCGTCGTTCTCCACGTGTTTCGAATCTTCCGGCACCGATGGGTAGAGCCTTAGCGTCTCCGATAACGCCGCCTTCAGGTAAACCAACCGGTCGATCTCGTCGAAACCTAACGGCTCCTCCGTCCAAGACGCTACGTCGACGGTGCCACGTGTCTCGATCAGAACGGAGCAGATCTCTGTGACGATTTTGTCCTCGACGGCTGGATTCAGCGTGACGAGCCAGAAGAACCAGCTCAGCGCGACTGATGACGTGTCACGTCCAGCTAGGATGAAGTTAAGTGCTACGTGTTGGAGAAATTTGTCGCTGTATGATTCTGTCTTCTTCATCATGAAACGCGAGAGGAGATCGTCGTGTCCTTGGGTCCCACTCTCTTGCTGACTCATCAGCTCTTGCTTACGTGTATTTATAACCGTAGCTAAATATCCATCGATTTCTCCTAAGCTTCGGCTCAAGCTGACTTCTAAGCCGATTCCAAGCCATTTCTTCAGCTTCCATAGAAACTTGGGTAAAATAAACCGTTGAAGCGAAGCTTCGGTGGCTCGGTCGAAAGCCGAGGCAAAACCGTTCTCGGGAAGCCCCGGTGCGCAGGTTCTTGTGTCCTTACCAAATGCCAATCCGCAAATGTTGTCGAATGTGAGCCGTAGTATCAAGTCTTGTAGATCAACCGGCTCATTTTTGGCTTGAGCCGATTCAAGAATCGGACAGAACCGGAGCTTAATTCCTCGGTTTACCCATCTACCCATAGCTTGCCGCAACGTCCTGAGATTGACAATACCAAACCGAATCTAAAAGTATTAGTAAACCAACGCGAATTAACGATTTGATTAGATCAAATAAAACGGTTTAATCAACCAATACTGTACATTGGGTTGTTCAATTATGATATTAATGGATTAGGCCATAAGGGTTAACCAATGAATATCAACTTCGATTATAATACGAATGCATGATTAATTTGAGAAACCAAGATTAAATCGATTGGTTTGGCAATTTCGGTATATACCTTGTGGTGAATTCGAGAGCGGCGGTTTTGCGTTGGAAGAGCCAGGTGTCACCATCAGAATTGAAAATACCTTGACCGAGAAAATCGTGGAAGACGGATTGCCACGTAGGACCTTTAGGGTAGTTATCGAACCGGGTCTTGAGCATGTGTTCGAGATTCTTGGGGTCACACGTGACAGTCACGAGACCTTGCTTCTTAGCCAAGAAAGGCACCGCACAGATACAAGTCTGGTAAGTTCCACCGCACGCACGGAGGTTCTCGGTGATCCATTCATGCATCCTATCACGCTGCTCGATCAGACCAGGAAGACTACCCAATACAGGCCAGACACGTGGACCCTTTAGCCACCTTGAGCTCCTCTTGAACCATAGCCAATACGCTGCAACCACCGCCACAAGAAGCATCACATTGGATATTTCCATGTAGCTTTTATTTGAACTAAAGATGAATGTGGTGATTGAGAAGAGAGAAGTGATGAAGTTGAGTGCAAATGAAACCGGGAAAATTTATAGGGAGAAAATGAGGAAGAAGGTTCTCTCACTGAATCACAATCTGTCAGTGGTAACTATCAGAATCATTAATGAATCCGCGGTTATCGTTGAG